CGTCACGGCTACCTGACCAGAACGGATAGAATGATTGCTGAGTAGATAGGAAATGGCTCTAACTAGAAACTGTGGCTATCCAAAGGGTCAGACTCACCAGAGACCCACAAATCTGAGAGTGAATGCAAGCGTATTCTATAAATTAAAACTAAAAACCCTTTTAGCAAGTTACTTGTTTTTTTTTTTTTGGTTTGGTTTGGTTTGGTTTGGTTTGGTTTGGTTTGTCTTTTTGAGACAGGGTCTCGCTATGCAGTTCAGGCTGACCTTGAGCTCACTTTGTAGCCCAGGCTGGCCTGGAACTCTCGACGATCCTCCTGCCTCAGCCTCCCGAGTGCTGGGATTACAGATATGAGCCACCACGCCCGGCTTAGCAAGTTATTTGTAAAGGTAGCTGATGGCAGAAAGAGCCCGAAGTTGGCTCTGAGGACTGTGTGAGAACCCATCTCTCCATCAGGTGAGAAATGAGCAAAGCCGTGCTGAGCCAGGAAAGCAAGAAGCAGCAATTCCAGAGAAAGCAATCCATCTACATGTACAGCTGTGGGAAGAAATACTTATTTTAAATGGAAAAATACAATTTAATGAACAACTCGCAGTAGCATCTCATTATGTAAAATTGTCTAAAACCCATTTACAAGATTGTGTGTGTGTGTATGTGTGTGTGTGTGTGTGTGTGTGTGTGTAGGTACACACAGATACACACAGTGGACATATTTCCAGGGCTGGGATGTAGCTCAATGGCATAAGCACTTGCCTGGCAAGCCTGAGGTCATGGGTGTAATTCCCGGTACAAAAAGAAAAATTAAATAAAGGTTATTATTTCTTGGAGAGAGGTAAATTCCTCCTGTGACACAGAGACAAGCGGAGGTTGAGGTGGGCAGGAAACAGGCCAGGAGGGAGGGGAAGACAAGAAAATGACCATAACCACTCTGGAGGGGTTTGAATGTAACTGCTGCCCCCGGAACTGGTGTTGAATTCCTGCAGCAGCCGTGCTAGGGAACGGCCTGGGATGGATTTAGCCCGTCAAGAACGGGTCAGTCAGAGAAAGAGCTGCTTACTGTGAGGCGTCCAGCCCCTCCCCTCCTCTCTTCCCTTCTTCCCAGAGTGTCACAGTGTGGCTGGACTTGAACTTCCAGCCTTCAGAGCTACAAGCCAGGCAAACCTGTTTATAAAGGTTACACAGTCTTGGGTGTTCTGTTATAGCAAAAGACAAGCATTCTACAAATTTAAATGAAAACAGTTTCATCTCTGAAAACCCAGGGGTTGCTTGGGGTCATTACCTTTGTGATCTCCCTGGCGAAGCTGCAGACAGGCCTTGAGTGACTACAGTTTCCTGTGACACCGCCCAAGCCCTGCCAGCTTAACTACTGAGATTTTGAAAAACCACTGTCTGGCAGGTGTGGCCACAAGGTTTTGCTTGGCTTTCCTGTGACCAGTCACTAACAGAAACCTCAAATACCCACCTCCATCCTTACGGAGAACATGCAGGTAGTTTCCACCCTACGCACTTTCTCAGCAAACTGCAGCGTGTGAGTCCAGAGTCCTGGAGCTGGTCGCAGGTCCTATGAGACTGCGTATTTCTGCCTTCCCTTGTTTTGCTTCAGATGCCCTTGTTCAAGAAGTGCCTGAAAATGACGAGTACTTCTCAGTGATCGCGACAGCTGTCATTACAAGGCCCCAGCGCACTGAAAGCACTATTTTATTTACTCGTGCAACCCACAGCCACCCCAAAGGGTAGACGCTGTCACTCGTTCCATTTTACAGATGAGGACGTTTCCCAGCGAGGCTGAGGAGCTCGGCCCAGGCCTCAGCTCTCTGAGCTGCCCTGCTGCGAACATTCTCGGGTGTGAGGCCAGACGTCACCCCTGGGCAGAGGCGGAAGGAGGACAGGTATGTCTGCAGCCAGAGAAGCCTCAGACGTCACCTTCATCTGCGTCTGTCTGGAGCCACCGCCAGGCACAGACAGAGCCAGACGCTCAGGGCAGTCACGGGTGACCCCCGAGCGTGTAGGTCACACCACCACGGGATCTATCTGGGGGCTTGGGTCCCTCAGACCGTAGAAAGGTGATAAAAGATGAGCCCCCTCGCTGCCAGTCCTATCACCCACCACAACTGATGCAGTTTTCCATTCCAGTCTATGGTCAAGTACAAGAGCATAAAATAAATAATTCTTCCCACTCTCTAACAGGAGGTTTAGCACAGAATTTTCCTTATGTGATTTGCTACGGTTGACCACATGGGCAACGTTTCAGACTCCATTTTAGGAAACCACATGCCGTACACCATGTATGGCTTCAGGTGCAGCTGACGCAGGAGTCCAGGTGCCACCAGAGCCTGGGGTCTCTCTGTGCCGTCCTTGAGGCGGCCTCTCCTTCAGCCGGGTGTATCGCCTCACAGCCTTGCGACAAAGGCAGCACTGTGCTTCCGGTCCCACACACCCACACCCAAGTCTTAAGACTTGTGCTGCACCGGCGGCCTGGCCTGAGTCAGATGCCCGTCCTGAGTGCGTGGCGGTGCTGTGTGCGGAAGCACAGGCTGCACCTCTGTTCTGCGAGTGGGTGATCAGAAGACTGGCTGAGGCGCTGCGCCGGGCGCCGGGCCCGCAAGAGCAAGGCGGTGAGGTGGTGGTGTGGGTGGGTGCAGCGGCAGGGGGCTGGCTGCTAGTAGGCCCTCGTGCATGTGTATCCCCCAGAGGAAGGGGACTGCAGAAGCACCTCCTGTCCGTGCTATGATCGCAGGGACAGCTGCCCTCACTTGCACAGTGGGATCCCTGGGAGACGTGGCTCTTTCCTCTCATCCTCCCTGGCCTGGAGGGTGAATCGCCCCCAGGTCTGCTACAATGCTGCGACCCCCTGTGTACCAAGAGCCCTCCTCGTCCCTTCACACCAAGCTTCGTTGTGGGCGGAGCTGCAAGCGGCACGGCTCAGGGCAACTGTGGATATCCAATCTGCCAAGCGGTGCTCCCCTGTGCCTCCGGCACCTGCTGTGCTCCTACCCGCCCTGCTCGGGGCGGGGCCGGGGCCTGTCACATGCTCAGAGTAAAACAGAAGTTCTGTGTGTGTGACTTTAAAGACTTATAATTGGACTGGGGGTTTAGCTCAGCGGCACAGCGCCTGCCTGGCAAGCACAAGGTCGTGAGTTCGATTCCCGGTACCGGAAAAAAAACAAACAAACAAACAATAAATAAATAAATAAATAAAAACTTATAATCGTGAGTTCCAGACCAAACAACTGACCCTAATGTAGCCCTCACTCATCACCAGATGAATACCCAGCGTGGAACCACGCGCCTCTGCTGGCTCCCGCCTCTGGTGATGAGTGAGTCCTCCGCGGCGCACACCTTCCACATGGCAGCAGTGTCTCACCTTGGGTTCCGGAAGTGGTTTCTGCGGGGTGGAGCGAGACCTGGGCTGCAGACATGGGATGCTGAGCCGCAGCCAAGGGCAAGGGCTACACCTGAAGGCTCTCCCCCAGTGTCCTGCGAGTGGTCCCAGGACTTCGTTTCTTAACTAGAATGTGCTTGGAACAGCATCCAGGTAAAGTCTGAGGGCTGTCACAGGCTGGTGTCTTTTTTGGCCTTTACTTTCCGAGTCCGTGTCTGCAGTGAGTAATGACCATACTCCTCCTCGTGAGGAGCTGGTCCGTGGACACAGCTTTCTTGTTTCATCCCTGTGCTCCCCATCCCTCCATCTCCTGGTTCCCTGCCATCTCTTGTAAAATCTGCAGTTTCCCCAGAATTATTTTCCCAGTACTGCAGCCGCACAGCCCAGTTTCCACTGTGCTGGACAAGCGCTCAGCTCCGAGCCCATCCGGGCCTGGAGGAAGGGTTTGGAACAGCTAGGACCCCCGGTGCTGCAGTACAGGGCGAACGTGGGGGACTTTTCTCCCCCTTTTACTGCAGGAGCTGATCTTGAGGTATCCGCCAAGGACAGAGACAGAGGGCAAGAATCCAGAGCTTCACAGTGGGGGCTGGGCTCACCTCTCTCTCTCTCTCTCTCTCTCTCTCCCTCTCTCTCTCTCTGTGTCTGTCTTTTTGAGCCAGCATCTCGCTATGTAGCCCAGGCTGGCCTCAAATTCGCAGTGTTCCTCCTGCCTCAGCCTCCCAAGTGCTGGGTTTACAGGGGTGCGCCGCGCCCGGCTCACCTTTGCTCTTTCTGTGCTATGGAGGAAGATCCCAAGTGGAGGTCATGTGAATGATGAAAGCACTGGGAAGTACAAACAGAACAAATTCTGACTTGGGCTGTTATTGCTTAACAACAACTGTCATTGCCCTTTGCCGGCCAGGCGTCTCCTCCACTTCCTGTCCTGGGAGGTGTGTGCTAGGGCTGGACTTGGCCATCCCCAGAGCTCCATGTGGTGAGGGCTTGGCCACCAGCCTGTGGCATTTGGCCAGCGGTGCTGCCCTGAGAGGTGAGGCCAGGGGAAGCTGGGCCCCGCAGGGCCCTGACGGGATATTTGGAGCCGGCCTTTCCTCTCTCCCCTTTTGTCCTGGCCCCTGAGACGCAGGCACTTTGCTCCCGAGCCTGCACTCATGGCCTGGAGCCTCTGAACCGTGAGCCGAATGCGCTCCTGGCTCAGCCGACTCTCTCCACGGCTAGTACCACTGGCTCAGGGATTCCACCAGGTTGCCAGGGCTCCCGCCAGGAAGAAGCAGAGCCCAGTCCTCAGCCACTGTCCCTGCAGCAGGCTCAGGTGCGCGTGTCCTTCCTGGGGCAGCAGTGGTGGTTCCACCAAGCCTTACACTGTTGCTTACACGGTGACCCCGAGGGCCATGGGGAAGGCAGTCTTCTGACTATGCTGCCCAGGCCTCTGGGGCACAGCTGGGAGGACGAGCACCATGGCCAGTTGGCAGCCTTGGGTCCCCCTAATCACCTGCTGCAGGGAGGGCGGCGATCTTGAGTCCCTGCACGTGGCTTGGAAACCCTTGAGACTGTGCGGGGCGGGGAGGGGGGCCTCCGGGACAGGGAGGGCGTGGCTGCCCAGCCTGGGAGGATGAGCAAGGTTTGCCGTCATCCGAGAAGCTCCGGCTGATGAACGCTGTCTGGAATCTCCGTCGCCTCTTGCTCTCACCGCAGCCTGGAGGCTGAGGCTCACCTACAGCTGCAAACCGCCTGCGCTAGCCCCGTGACTCACCCACGCCCCTTTAAAGCCACACCGGGGCAGGGCAGGGGCCACTGGAGAAGCCATGGCTCTCAGGCTCTGCTGTTCCCGCTGGGCACTGCTCTGCTGGCTGGTGGCATTCGTGGCACAAGGTAAGGGCTTTGTTTTTACTCGCATGTGTGTCTGCTAATTAACAAGGCGCAAGGGAGACAAGCTGCCTCCGTGGTTACACATGCCAGCCCGGGAAGCCTTTCCACCACCCCTACCTCTGCGTTAGGGAGAGGGGCTGGGTCCTGTGATCTGAAGACGGGGGCCCTGGTCTCGGGTGCACATCCTCTCTGACTTCGCCTGGTGAAGTGACGGCGTCATTGCTTTGGGGTTGTCAGGACCACGGGAGCGAGTGTGGGAAGCTCTCCCTCCCCACTGGGAGTGCTAACAGATCCTGGATGTTACAGTTTCGAGGCTGACGCCCTCCTCCCTGACGTCACCCGCAGCGTGGTCCTTTGTCTGCAGCGGCTGTTTGCTCTCTCTTTGCCACTGGGTTTCCGTCACAGCAGTAAGCTAGCGTCAGTGCTGCCCAAGGAGCACGGGTTTCCTTGCTGGAGGACACGAGACTAATTTCTCCACTGCTCCTGTCCTCTCTCCCTGCCCACCTGCCAAATCTCTCAGGGGCCTGAGCCTTGGGATTGGTTTGCAAACCTCTGGGAAAGTAAAGAAAAGGACGAGGAAGAACAGAGAAAGGGGAAAGAAAGGGAAGCAGATGCATTTCCCACTGCTCACCTTGGTTCCCGAACGATGCTGTTGGCAGTCGAGACCCCGTGGGTGGCCCTGGGGATCCCTGACGCCCTCTCCTCATCCACACAGCACAGGACAGGCTGGAGAGGGGCTGTCAGAGCCAGCACCCAGAGTCTCCCACCGACCCCTGCACAAATGCTGGCCACCAGGGGACGAGGGGCACAGGTTACAGCCAACACCTGCTCGGGTCACCAGACGAGCCCCAGTCCATGTAGGCAGTGTCTTAAAAAGAGCTAGCCACCCCCTCTTCCTCGCCATGTCATGGGGCCAGCGTGTCCTCGAAGAGCCAGAGCCTCTCTCTGGAAGGCTGGGAAACTCCATAGCTGAACAAGTTCTGCTAATAGGAGAGATTCCTGATGTTTCTATTTGAAGGCCCAACCGGACCCTGCAGTGTGATTTCTGAGTGCGGCAGTCAGTCCCACAGGCTCGACTCTCCCCACCCGCCGCGGGCTCCGGCCGCCGCCCACCTGCCTGTGTCCGGGGCCTGTGTCCCGTCTGTGTCCTGGGTCCCCAGGCGGGGCACGCACAGTCCTAGACTCTTCCACCCCTGCTCCCTCCTCTTGCTCTGTCCTCTACGTGTTGCTGTTCCACCTCACAGCCTTTCTTGAGATACATTATTTTATACGGCAAAACTCAACCATGTCGTGTTTATTTATACGTGTTAGTCATGTCTAAGCTTAAATTTGGAGTATATGGATATTGATTTCTTCCAAATTTACCTGAATAAAGCATTTAACTATTTAGACTACCAAAAAAAAAAAAAAAGACATTATTTTTAAGCGGCACTCCTTCCCTCTGACGCCTTTGAACTCACACAGAAATTGGTGCCTCCCCCGGGTATGTGGGGTGTCTTTGTCACTCTGCCTTGTGGTCTCCACATCGCAGCCTCTTCTACTCCCTGGGCAGCTCTGTGTCTGTCATTTCTGCATCTGACTCAGTCCCCAGTGCGGGAACCTGCTCGTGATCAGGACCACTTGAGCTCAGCATGGAATGGGAAGAGGCTGTGGATACTCTCCGAGACGCTAAGTGCTCCGTCTTCAAAGCAGAACTCTGACTGCAATCCTTGGTCATGCTAGGAGTCCACAAAGTGAATTGAGCTGCAGTCACTGTAAAGACGGTCACAGGGCTGAGATCTATCTTTGGTCCAACTCTAAAAACATATGAAAATTTCTCTAAAACTTTGTGTATCAGAAACTTGACTTAAACATCAAAAACAAACTTGCCAAGTAAACTACAACAACAGAAGAACAAAGCTTTCTTCTCTAAACATCACTATAGTTCACTACAAACCAGTTGTTTTCTACCCAAATAACCACAGAGTACGGGTAATTACAAAAAAGTTCTCATCGCTACCCTTTTTAAAAAGTGCTAGTTGTTGATAAGCTATGACTTTCATGTCTAGACTATAATAGAGCCACCCAAAATTGATATCCAAATTTCAAGCTGTATTTTGGGTTTGTTGTGTTATATTCTGATTTTACATATAAGCTGTTACTGCAAATGTTCTGAGACTGGAATGAAATACTTTTTATGTAATACTTTTTATTAACTACTTTTTATCAAATATTTTTGAGTACCACAAAAATACACAAAGAGGAACGGTCAGTGTCTGCCTGCCTTTCACTGAGTTTGTCAAACTTCTACTGAAGTAAGCCAAGAACTGTTCCGACTCTGAGGACACCAGCAGTGACCAGGGCATCAACAGCCCTGGTCTCCATGGAGACCCTGTTCTTATGACCTCTGGACCCTTCGGTCTCATCCCTAATGCACGACAATGCATACGATCTAACCAGAGCGATCCAAGGATCAGGGCTTATGCTGGCAGAAACCTTCCCTCACGTTCGTGTAACGGAAGCCAGCTAACCCTTCCAAAGTGTACACAACTTATCAGAGAGTGTTCTCCCTGCTCCACACATCTTATTCAGATAAGTTCGCAGCACACGGATGAGACAGGTAGCATCACTTTCTCCATTGTACAAATAAGGAGGACGATTCGAGATTAAGGAAGCTGCCTGTGGTCCATTATTAAACACTGAGCTCAGGAAGCCCTGCTCTGCGGCCTGTGTAGATGAACACTGGGCCGCCCGCCTCTCAGCGTCTCTGATCTGTGCTTCAATACTGACCCACTTTGGTCTCCTTCAGCTTGCAGAATTCCCATCTCTGACCTGCCGTGCCATTAGTGGCTTGCTGGCATGGAATATGGAAAGCATCACACTGGCCCTGAGAGGGGCGCGTGGGGACTTTGGGCATTGTAGGTACAGATCAGCAACTGATCAGCTCAGCTCTACAGCAGGCACTGGGTTAGGGTTGAGAAGACATTGGTCTACAAGGTGGTCTCAAGGGCAGCTCAGTGGGACAGAACACACCCGCCACGTGATAGTCACGGGGCTGAGCCAGGCTGTGGGAGAACCTCGAGAGGCCTTCCCAGCCTCCCAGGAGGGAGAGCTCCCTGAGAGACGGGACTTGGAGTCTAGACAGGAGAGCCAGGCCATGGGGCAAACGATGGTGCCCCAGGCATCTGAACCCACTTCGTAGAATCCCAGGGCCAGTGACGACTTTTGCCAAAGTAGCTGTTGTGGAGTGGAGCAGTCAGGTGGTTAGACAGCTCCATGCTGCGGACTTGTCTCTGAAGACAGAGGAGGAACCACACAAATTCATGGCAAATCACCTCCATCTTCCCCAGAAAGGAGCAGCTAAGCAATCTACTCAGGGGGAGAGAATTCTTCAAAGAAAAGTGTTGGAGGACAGGCCAGCAGTTTAGCTCAGCGACATAGCACCTTGCTAGGCAAGCACAAGGTCCTGAGTTTGATTCCTGGTATACCAAAAAAAAAAAAAAAAGTACTGGAGGAGATTTGAGGAGATAGCACAGATTATGAAGACTGAGAATGGAGTGGCACAAGGATAAACAAAAGGACTGGCGAACAGGATTAAGTCTGCTAAAGGGGGTGACTATACATGGTATCAACTCACACAGAGGTGTGGCCCAAACTTTGTGAGTTGTGGCAGGCTCCTAAATCCATCCCACGGCAGCCACATGTTAGAGCATTTATGCTACCAAGTAGCAAGCGACCTGGCAGAATCACCAGGTGTGGGGTCTCCTGGAAGAACGTTTTTTCATGCGGTCCTGCCCACGTTTGTGGGTGCGGGAACGGGGCCAGTGTATACTTTGATCCGACGCCCCGAGGAGGAAAACTGCCTGGCAGATCCTAGCAGCCAAGTGCCCTGGGGTTGGCGGTGGCCCCAGGGCCCAGAAAATGAGATGAGCCCAGGAGGGAGGGAGGGGTTCATTTGCTTTTAGCAGCAATTTACTGAATTTCAAAAACAGGCCCAGGTAAACCCTGTCTGAGAGCCAAATTTCGTGATGCAGCTTAGCAGGGAGGCTGTCTTCTCCTTTAGTGGCTGAATTCTGGGTAGTTTTTCTGTCGCAAAGGTTCAGATTTATCAAAAGGAATGAGTAATGTGAGACTGAATCATCTTCTGTGGTTGAGAGACAGAGAGAGAGAGCAAGACCAATTAAACAACCACTCAAATCACACGGAACGTTTCTGAGGAGCTCTGCGGTTACTCCTTCCACTAATTAACACCCACCCGAACTCAGAGCTGCGCAGTATTCTGCCTGGTTTGCTTTGACCTGAACGTGACGTAAGAGGACTCTCACTGCCTGTACCCTTTCCCGTGTAACTGCCGCTCAGCGTAACACTGTGGGTGTGCATGGTTGCTCTTGTCACCGCCGGTCCTGTTTCATGCGCAGCGTCTGCTTCCCCATTGCACTGGCCGCCCAGGCTCAAGCTGTCGTGCCTGGGGCTGCCGGCCTTTCTGCTCACAAACACCTTCGCCTTCTCTGAGTCCCCTCCCCAGGGTGGAGCGCTGGGTCACAAGGAGGCTGTGTTTCCCGTCACTGGATTTGGCCGCTCTCTCAAATATTCTTTCCGATGTCTCTGCTCCTCTCTTCCCATTTGCCGCCTGTGTTTTCAGCCTGCTTGCTGACTGCATTTTCCTTCCCGCAGGAGCAGAGGGGCTGGCTCTGCCTCCTGGAGGCACACAGCACAACGCCCACCCTACAGACTGCCAGATCTTCCCGCTCACCCCGCCACCCGCCACAAGGAGCCCGGTGACCCGGCCCCGGCCCCGGCCCGGCACAAGGACACCCAGACAGCCCTTGGTCTTCTTCCCACAGTGGCCCAGGGTCCCCCCCAGGTTCCCAGGCCCACCCTTCCTCCCTCCGGACTGCAGCCGCCGCTTCCCGTGGCAGCCGGGGTTCTGGCCACGCTGCTGCGTGACCCCCAGGCAATGTCAACTGGGGACAGAGCTGCGTGGGGAAAGCTCGTCGTCGGAAGAGACTGGGGAGAGGTGAGCCCTGAGCCTGAGGAGCAGGAGGAGATCTGGCCTGTGACCAGCCGGGGAAGATTCCATGTCCGCCTTGCAGCTAGAGTTACGGGACCAGAACATGAAGCTACTCATTTTATGGCCATGACTAGAAATCATTCTCCTCATCAGCAGTGAAGACAACGGATTATAGGTGATTTCTGTTTGAAAACTAGGGCAGTAACTATGTCATTCTTATCCCTCAGGGGATTAATGCAAATAAAATCCTAAAACGGGACGTTCCAATAATTCCTATCCACACCGAGAGTCGAAGATTCAGCCCTGTCTTCTAAATGACAGGGGAGCACATTTAAAGAAAGATCACTATGATTCCATGAAGACATGAATGGCTTTTTTAAAATATTCTGTAGGAAACTTACTGAGCAAGGTGAACTTACAAAGTGAACTTTGAAAGAAATGATAAACATTAAAGCAAAAATGGATGCGGAATCTGACTATGGGTATATTTTTACGTTTCGACTTTTTATACTTTCAAAGTTAAAAACTGAATAATCTAACACAAATAATTATGTTGAAGTGTAATATCCAAATTGAATATTAACCTTTGAAGCAGGTGGTGTGACCAGCCTCACAAGTTCCTCACTACTGTGGTCACATAAACGTGAAATGAAATGAAAACTTCCCCTGAACACTCAGCACAGGTCCACACACCAAAGCTTGATTAAAGAGCCATGTACGTGGGTGTCCTTTGAACTTTAGGGTTCTATGAACAAAGATCACTCAACCACAGGGAAGGTATGTTCTCAGGGTGCAGGACGGGTCCCATGGGCTGCACCCGTGGCCTGGTTGTTTCTTGCCGGGAAAGCTCACCTCATACCTGTGCTGCTCCTCTTGCCTGTGTTCAGGATTTGATCGTGGTCTCTACTTCCCCACCCAAGTGGTCAGGGGCTTCCACTGGGTCTTTAAAGAATGCTGTGCAAAGGAGGCCGCTAGTACTGCTACAAAGACAATCAGTCAGTCAATCAAAAACACTAAGATACGAGCACAGGGTGGGGGGTGCCTGGGAGAAGGTGAGCCGTATAAGATCACTGTGCTGGGCTTGCTCCAATAAGTGATATAGCAAGTGATAAATGTCTTCACTCACTTAGCACTAAATATTCATTATTAGAACTGGCATTTGCTTTAAATTTATATAGGTTTATATAAAAACTTATTTGAAATCATCATCAAGAAACTGTATTTTGAAATAAACCTTACCTGGGCTTTGATTGCTCGGGACATACCAAAAATGGGCCATTGTGTTCATTATCTTTTTTGTCCTTTCAACAAAATCCTCGAGAATAACACCTAAAAGGAGGGGAGACTTTTTTTTAAAAGGAGGCTCACAGTTCTTGAGGTTCAGTTCATGGTCCACTGGGGGGGAGGTGTGGCCTGGGGGAGGCGGAGCATCATGGTGGAAGGCGTGAAGGAGGAAAGCTGCTCACCAGGAAGAAGAGGGAAAGAGCTCTGAGGAAGGGTTACCACACCCCTAGGACCGTTCCCTTCCGCTGTCCCCACCTCCAGTGTGCCTCAGCCCCCAGCACCACCATCAGATCATGGTCCTCCCCCCTGAGGAAGTCAGCGCCTTCTGGCCCAATCACCTCCCCTCAAAGCCCACCAGCCAATCAGCCTGTAGCTCATGAGGTCCAGGGGACACTTCAAATCCAAGCCATGGCAGCCATCTTCAGGCAAATGAGGAAACTGACAGGTTTGCTTGTGAACCCCCTCCCCTCTCTGCCCCTGCTCCTTATCCTGCCATGCTTGCCCACACCTATGTCCTCAGGCCTCACAGTGCCCTGGCTGCCCATTCTTACCCCAGACATTAGCACTTTTGCAATATTGGGGGTCTTTTTTGAGACAAAGTTTCACTATGTAGTGCAGGCTGGTCTTGTACTCAAATGATCCTCCTGCCTCAGCCTCCCAAGTGCTGGGATTATGGGCATGTGCCACCACACCTGGCTTCAAGGACTATTGCTAATAAATTCTCTGCAATTGTAAAGGAAATCAGTAAATCCACCTTAATTACAATGATAGCTTTTGTTTATCAAATTTTCTTGGCAATTAAGGGAGTTTTAGAGTGTTTGAGATATTGGTCTTTTATCAACTTTAAATACTGCAAGTATTTTTTCTCAATTTGTCATCTGCATCTTTCGCCTATGCAACCTCCAAGTCTGATATAGACCAACTTTTCTCAGTGTGATATGTTTTTAGGGTTTTAACAGGTCCTTCCTCAGGTCACAAATATTATTTTTTATAAACATAATTTTACCTTTCCTATTTATGTTTTTAATTTTTCCATAATTCATTATCTCATGTACCATAGGATGCTGTAGGGATGATTCCTATCCTAATTGATATCCATTGTTTGAAAAACTAGTTTCCCAGACATAATCTCCAAGAAAAGCTTACCATTTCATCAAGTTCCCATGTGTACATCGGTCTGTTTTTAAGCTCTCGGTTTTGTTCCATTACCTTATTCCCACATTGGTCTTAAAACTGTGATTTAATTGCAATGCCTTGGCCAGACATGGTGGCTCATGCGTGTAATCCTAGCACTCAGGTGGCTGAGGCAGGAGGATCATTGTGAGTTCGAGGCCAGCCTAAACTGCATAGTGAGACCCTATCTCACTAAAAGACAAATAAATAAATAAATAAATAAATGCATGTCTTCATATGTAATACAGTGAGAAAAGAAAAAAATAAGCACTTGAATATTCTATCAATTGGTATTTAGCCAGGATGCAATAAGCAAGATTTTCCTGAATAGTTTAGGTATATATCAATAGAATTTTCTTTTTCCAACTAGGGTGAATTTAAATTGGAAGTTTTTTAAGAATTTTGAATTTAACCCTGTGCTCCACACTGGACGCAACTGTGAAGACAGGGACACACCCTCCAGGCAGATCTCGTTTTGAGGTGAGGCAGGCAAGGGCTAGACAGCAGCAGCTCCACGGTCTGCACAGAAGGACAGTGGCCAGCAGGGACGGCTGACGCAGGTGGATGCACACACAGAGGCCTCTCCCACTCCTGCCCCATCTCACCTGTCCTCTAATCCTCACATCAGGAGCACTTGCTCTTCAGCCACGCCCTTGCATAACTCAGAGACACCCCCAAAGCTCCCCAGGATGTCCCTGAGATGCCACCCCACCGGAATGTGCAGGTCACCTCCTCGCCCCCTCCTGGCTTCACTTCCACCCCCAACACGACCACATTCGAGCATCTCCCCATGTGTTTCGTTATCTCGTTTGTTGTATGTGGAGGATCTGTAAACATGGCTCACCCCTTCCCCAGGACGGAGAATGATCTGTGCACGTAACAGAGACACGATCAGATCAAGCAGTGAGTCTTTAACCGCTGATGTCCAGCTCTACCTGCTTCCAAATCAGCGCACACATCAGGGAAAGCTCCAGAGGTAAAATCTTCACGCAGAAAGAACTTACACTGAGGACAGGAAGACAAGGCACACACACACCTCCCAAAGAAAACAGCGACTGGCCGTGTGTGCACTTCCACCTTCCCGTCAGGAGTGTTAAAAACAGATTCTCTGCTTCTCCAAAGATACGAGTCCTCTTCTTCAGTAGAGGATGGGCTGGAATGGCAACCCAAACCAGACAATCATCTATTTAACTGCCACCCAATTAAGTAATTTTTCAGAATTTTGTTAGCTATGATGTAAAAAAAGATTTGAGTCCAATACTCTTCGTAAAATCTCTCCTCCATGTCCACATCAAGAAAGTTGGTTTTGGCTGGGATGTAGCTCAGCGGTAGAGCACTTGGTGGGCACGGGCAAGGCCCTGGGTTCCACCTCCAGCAACACATGTGCACATGCACACACACACACACACCCACACACAGCCAAACACAGAGGCCGCCTAGTTATGTTAAAATGGCTTTTAAAACTGTTATTCTTCAAATATCTCTTCAATGGACACAAGCAAACTGATTTTCTGCCAATAAAACTTACCTACTCTGCAGCTAGATTCTTCATGGAAGGTTTGCTACACCTTCTGCACATAATCAACACTTTAACTTCTCCGGAAATATCTTTCACGATATCTTTTCAGTTGGAGAATTAGATGCCTACTGTCACTCAAGATAGAGTTTGTACAGTCATACTGATAAAGTTGTTCCAGTTGTGTTTTTAAAGGTTTCTGTTTCCGGGGCTGGGGATTTAGCTCAGCGGCAAAGCGCCTGCCTGGCAAGCGCAAGGTCGTGAGTTCGGTTCCCGGTACCGGAGAAAAACCAAAAAAAAAAAAAAAAAAAAGTTTCTGTTTCCATATTGGCAATACATTTCTCCTTCTGTACAGTCTTTTGTTGTCTTCCGTGATTTAAAAAAAAAAAAGAAACTAAATATATTGAGCCAGGTGTGGTAGCATATGCCTGTAATCCCAGCACTCAGGAGGCTCAGGCTGGAGGACTGTCTCAAGTTTGAGGCCAGTCTGGGCTACATAGTGAGACCTGTCAAAAAAACAGTAGGAAAAATATCTAGAGGAAAATGTCCAATACTTGAGCTATAATCTGCTTCACCCTTTTTGAAGCTCTTTAATATCTTTTATTCACAGAAAGAATTCAAATAGTCAATAAATATATGAAAAGAAACAACATATGTGTAACTTCAGCAGTAGCCAAGAAAACATGTCAAAACCAGTCAGATTGACCAAAACAAACTTTATGAATGTCTCACATAAGGTCAATTTATACCACTGGTGAGAATATAAATTGCACAACCGGCCTGGAGGACAGCTCGGCAAAATGAACCCCAACACAAGATGGCACACAGCTTCTGCAGCTTCCAAGTGTTGCCTCTGGCAGGCTCCTCCTTGGAAGGTGATGCTCTGAGTCGGGCTGCGATTCGCTGACATCCATTCACACGACCCTACTTCCTGTCATGCCTTTAGTCCACATAAGGCCCGGGGCTCTAGCCTGCCAGTGTAGCCGCTCCCATCACTGCAATCGCATCAAGGATCAGCAGGACCCTCAGTCCTGTGAGAGCAAAGCCACATATAAGGGTAGAGGAGACTTCTCAGCTCCTCCTGTGGAAGTAAGGATGCCTCCCAAGTCTAAGCTGAGTTTTGTATTACTTAACCGTGTTTTCCACATCTAAATAATCGTAACCATATATTTATGTCAACACTCATGATTCTTCATCTACTCAATGACACAGGGTAAATTCTTCAATCTCTTTTTCCGACTAGGCCTGGCTATGTAGTCCAGGCCAGGCCAGCCTGAAACTTGTTATGTAGTCCAGGCTGGCCTCAAACTCATGACCCTCCTGCCTTGGTCTCAGCCTCTCCCGTGCTGGGATTATAGCTGTGCATCACTACACACAGCTCTTCCAATTTTTTAAGCCTACTGCCTTGTCTATAAAATGTGAACAACATTCCTTTCATAGTTATTACTATTACCACATAAAAATCACTCTACTAGACAGTGTCGTATAGAAATAGGTAAATAACGTGCAGCACCTATTTTTATTAGAGGCACTGATGTTTTAGTGAGGTGGTGACATTGTGTTCTCCACCCTTATGTAGGGACAGCAAACATGCCAACTTGTATACACTGTCTTCATTTCCCTGGTTTTCTCTTATGCTGACGCATGTTAACAGACAAAACATTTTCCAAAACTTTGTAAGAACCTTTCTCACTTTTAAGGAAGGACCTGAGTGCCAAGGTAAAGAATAAAAGAATTAACGCTATACGGTGGGGGAAATAATTTTTTACTGAACACAGGAAAATGCTATTTTCCAGGGTGGATTTTTGTTTTAAAGAAAATTTGTCCATGTGTAATACACTCAGCATCAGACAGCCACAAACACCTCGCAGCACAAAGCTCATAGTCTCAGGGCTGACGTGGAGACCTGCGGTGAGGCCCTGTCAGGAGGGCCTGCTGGGAAACATGCTGTGGGTTAATTAGATGTTCAAGTCACTTCATGTTTGAAGCCATTAAGAGGTTAAAAAAAAAAACAAAAAAACCAACAAGACCCTTTAAAAAGCAATACAAGACGGTAATTTTCATACAGGTGGAAGACAGATTAAGGGCTCCTTTCTCATGTAAACAAACAGCACAAAACAATGGAGAAAGATGCCTTCAGTCCAAATCAGAGTCAGTGCCTGGTGGTGTCCGATTCCCTTCCAGAGTGTCAAAGATGAGTCTGCTGGATGTTCAGCCTCCTCTCATCTGCGAGCCAAGCTCTGAGTGCAGCACAGCTAAAAGAGGCAAGGTTGAGAGTTGTGTGTTCTCTGCCCGGCTTCTGCGCTCCCACTTCAACTGGAAGTCAGACATTTTCAACCGGAAGTCAGACATTTTCAACCGGAAGTCAGACATTCCCAACCGGAAGCAAGAGATTCTCCCCCAGGAGAGTTGGCCTCTAAACCCGGTTCTGCCCCAGCTCTTGTCAGGTGGTCTTTGCAAGATGTTATTTCATCACCATGCTTCTTCTATCACTAGCTGTACAGGGAAATTAACTTATCTCCCACCCCTCCAGCCAAAGTTTCAAAAGAAAACAGCAAATTATTTCAAACTTATTTATTAGATACCATACAGTGGTGTATATGCTATTTATAGTCTTTTCATAAATCTAAATTAAACTCATCCATGGAACTAAGATATTTATTAATTTCCAAACATTCATACACACAGCAAGCCCACTGAGACCCCCACTAGTACAGATACACGTTTCACATCAGTAGGTGAGTAAATCCCACCAGTGTAAAGAGACTAAATAAGCATAAACTTCTTTTTGAAAAAACAATTATTTTAGTTCAGTGTTTACTACTCCAATTTGCAAAATCTTTCCCTATCCACTCAGCCAAGGGTCTAACCACACATGATCTCAAGTGCCAAGGCAGATTTAAGGGGTGATTCATGTTCCCTTCATTCTAAAGTGCACAAGATGCTTAAATTGCCAAAGATACTAAAAGCCTAGTATGATTTTTTTGTACCAGGAGTCAAACTCAGGACCTTATGCTTGCCAGGCAGGCGCTGTGCTGCTGAGCTACATCCCCAGCCTCCCAGTAGGAATTAGAAGGCAACTGATCCTAGACTTTCAGACATCGAGCTACTATCTTCTCCCTGATTTTCACCTAAAAACATCACTGAAATAAGCTGGGGGTACTGCTTGGTTTTACATGGCGTCGCTTTCCACACCACAGAGTCAGTTGGCAATACTTTCCAAAGTGAAAATAAAATGATATTTTAGTGTGAAGCTTATTAAGGCCAATATACTAGTCTCCCGTCCCCCAGCATGCTGCCTGTGGTAAACTAGTCATACACCTCGTAAGAGGTTAAAGACAGAGCTTCGAAACCAAAACCAAACTTAACAGAAATCACCTTCTATAGACTTGTACATCAGAACCCTGTATTTTGCCTCCTCTGAAATGTCCTCTTCTTTTGAGGCCCAGTATCTAATGTCAGAATTTCAATACCAAGCTCCTCAGGACAATAAAGAAAAGTTCTGGTTAAATTCTTGGGCTAAAGTCTACCGAAGGACTTTTGGAAAAACACCACACTACACTAATTGGATAAGGCTAAAACCTTGTATAAATTCTGGTCTCCGTCACAATTATCCTCTAACATGATAAATGCAGACCACGGCTGGAAAGCCAGGAAAACAGGAACCTGAGGCCCAAACCAGCCTAACCACGCCCTACAAAGCCGCAGACCTATGCACCAGAAGCTGTGTGAGGAATGTGGGTAGATGACTTTGCACTTTGGTGAGCAGCTCTGGGGAAGGCCTAGGTGTCTGAGGTAATGAGGAGACTGGAACTTCTCCGGCTTCTCCTGTTACCCTCAAGCTACCACGGACAGAGTGGAGTCCAGGATAACAGAGGTTCCCTCCAGAAGCCTCTTCCACCAGGAGCTGCCCAGCGTGGCTGCTTGATTAGGGGCACCGCCTCCCTAGCCAGTTTGGTACGTACGCTTTTCCTAATGAGCAGCCCCACATGCAGCTCCAAGGCACTCTTTGAACACTTCTACACCCCTGCTCCAACCAAGCTCCTTCACAGGGAACCTTGGCACCAGACTCTCCTTACACAGGGGACAGTGAGGCAGGAGCTGTGCTGTCAGCAGTCACAGCTTCTCCTCAGGGTTCTCCGAAGATCAGATGAGGGCCGTGACTGAACATCACCAGTCATCAGGACCGCAGACCCACACCTCCCAGAGAGCAGTTACGCAGTGCCTCAGGGCCTGCAAATGAGTTTTAAGTGTGTTTTCATAGTTAGGACAAGGGAAACATTTTCTCTTCCACATCCTCGCTTTTTCATCTTCTTTAACAGGAAGCATTTATACAAATAGCACACCAAGTTCAATGCATGAATAATATGACCTTTTATAATATTTCTCTTTCCTTTTTACTCACTTTTAATCTTGGCTATCTTTAAATATACAATCTATTAACAGCAAATACACATTCGTATAACAAGACCCATATTGCCACTCTTCAGTAGATACATCTTGACAGTAGCAACAGACTGGAAAGGGGAGGGGGGCACTTGTTCAGTCTCTTGCGAAACCTCCGCAAGCCTTCATCTTCCCCTCCTCTGCAAACCCTTTCCCAGAAAAAGCAGGCAGTTCAGAAGGAAGCAAAACCACGCATCTCTCCACCGAGGATATCAGCACTCCTGTCCCGGAAGGATGTCATCTCAGATGCAGCACCTGAAAGTGCAGCGAGAGACAGGGTAAATGGTTTTATTGTTGTTGTTTTTGCGTAAGAGCTCTCTGGAAATTGATTTCTACTTCATTTGCTTTCTCACGCTGTACTTGTATATATATTGATAATAGTGGAGGCTACATGGGCTAAGGAAACAAGGCTATGTGCATTAAATAAGATTTTAAAGGCCATCTTTAGGATAGGATCACCAGCAACCCAGAGGAGTATGTACAACCTGCTACCTCCTTTTATGCAAACAATGGCTGATGTTGATAAAGCAGATCCAAGCCTCGTAGGGCCTGCGGTTTATGTGAACTGGCTGTGTGGAAGCTTGCGTGCAGGAGCTCGGATGGCGCAGTGTCGAGATTTCTCCCTGGACTAGAACAGCCTGTGCAAAGGGGATCAAACCCAAGTTCACTTCTCAGTCAACTCCCTTTGATGCCCTGGATTTCAAAGTCATCTGTGGAGGTTAACGGCCTAATTTCCTTTTTTTTTTTCCTGGTAATAGGAATTGAACTCACAACCTTGCGCTTGCCAGGCAGGTGCTGTGCCGCTGGGCTAAATCCCCAGCCCACTCTAATTTCAATAATATTGCTGCGAGAACATGAGATTTCATTACCCTCCTATTTTACAGAGCTAATGCAACATGAAACATTGAAGTACTGGCTTAAGGTCACACAAAACAGTACCGCCCACAGAGGTGTGACTGCAAACTGGGATTTACTGAAATACTCACCAGGGAGCTCAGCCACAAAACTGACTGAAGGACTTCTTACGTGCTCCATGACGCACTCTTAGGTGCCCTCGTTAGGTGCCCTCGTTACCTACTCCATGTTTATAATTTCTGTTTTGGAAGCACTAAGAACTTCTGTCTAACAGCGTTGTTGGGAAAGTCTGCCAAGCAGCCCTCTGGCTACCTAGGTTTACACGCCCCTCCGGAGGAGGAGACGGGGCTGCTCGGTTCCCTCCGCGAGCACCGGCATCCCTAAGCTGCAGCAGGCTGGTCTCGGAGAGGAGTGAGCTCTGCATAAGGCGGTTTTGCACCACAGACACTACTTCTGGTTTTCTAAGTGACACGATGCCTTCTCTGTCAGGAGCTCATGCAATCAGAGAATGTTGCACAGACACAGTTCTTCCGTAAGACATACAACAGCTCTGTGTACAGTCACACGGCTTTAAACGGGAGCAGCCAGACCTACCGCGTCCTCAGTGCTGGTGCTCCACCCGGGGCAAATCGGCAGCGGTGTCCTCTGAGAGGGGTGACCCCAGCACCTGAGAGGTAAGAGCCAAGCGGCAGAAGTTCTCAGTCATTACAGAAGCCCCACTCTCCAGAATCCTCTTCCTGCTGTTCAACTATTAGAGGCTTACAATTAAATATTCACAGCTCACGTTTCTCGCACAGGAAAGGGTGAATAAGAGGACATCATTCCTGGACCTCTTAGTCTAGACGTATGTCAAAAGATCCTTTTGATCTGCCACGGGCCACTTCGTAACCCATCTCTGCTACTTCCTACAAAACCCAAACCTAAGGCGTCAGAGTAGCCGTTATAACTACGCTACACGAAGTGAAGGAGAACATACCTGAAACGAATGAAAGGGTAGAAATTCTTTTAGTCCCTTTTTTGTGGTAGGGGGAATTGAACTCAGGACCTTGCGATTACCAGGCAGGCGCTCGTGTGTCAGTTATATTCCCAGCCCTCTTTTTATTTCTTATGACAGGAATTCTTTTTTTTTTTTCCCAGCCCTCTTTTTTTTTCTTATGACAGGAATTCTGAGTTATAAAAATGAACCAAATGGATATCCTAGGATCACAGAAACACAGTATCTGAAATAAAAAAAATCTGACTGGATGGTAATAGCAGGATGGAGAAGTGAAATATCAGCATATACGGATCTAGGTCTACAGGAATTGGATACTCAAGAATAGGAAGAAAGAAGATTTTTAAAACGTAGAGCCCCAGGAACCTGTGAGAAAATACCAAAAGGTCTAATACACATGTCATTAGAATCTCAGGAGGAAAAGAAGATTATGGGGGCTGGGGATTTAGCTCAACGGCAAAAGCGCCTGCCTGGCAAGCGCAACGTCGTGAGTTCGGTTCCCGGTACCGGAGAAAAACCAAAAAAAAAAAAAAAAGAAGATTATGGAAAAAATACTTCAAGAAACAATGACCGAAAATTCTCCAGACTTTGTAAAAGATGTTTTTAGATTCAAGAAATATGGTCAACCCCAAACAGAATAAATTCAAAACTGCCCTTTATATTCAAGCTACTGAAAAAAATAATCTTGAAAGCAGCTAAAGAAAAATGAAACTCTGCCTCAAGGGGACAACAACTCAAATATCTGAGGATTTCTCAGAAAAAAACAATAAAAGATCAAAAGGCTGGAGGAAGAGCTGGGAGAAAAACACAACAAACACTAAGAACCTGGCGACCCAACTCCAAATCCAGTGAAAATATATTTGGGGGACTGAGGCAAAATAAAATCATTCCCTTTTTTCTTTGCTTTTGCTTTTATTTTGTTGTTGTTGTTGTTATTTGAAATGGGATCTCACTATGTAGTTCAGGCTGACCTTGAACTCCGAGTGATCCTCCTGCCTCAGTGTCCCAAGTGCTAGGATCACAGGCGTGCACCACCATGACCAGCCAGTCATTCTCAAATGAAGGAAAACTAAGAGAGTCCTTCAGCATCCACCTTGCAAAGCAAGACTAGAGGGACTTTAAAGCAAAAAGTAGAGGACAGCAGGCTGAGGCTGTCACTGCACGCGAACAGTCAGTGTGACTGCTCTTGTATAAGGTTCAGGCTGCGGGGAAGGGAACGTGACTGGAAAGCTTCTGTGTTTGATATTTACTTGTATGAGTAGGATTAGTTATCTATATCGGAATGCCTAGAACAATCTCTTAATAATACACAGACATCACCAAAAACTCCTAACATAATCGAAAACAAAACAAGATCAGAAAAGAAAAACAAATGACAGACAGAAAATAAATAATAAAAGGACAACATCAGACCCACCAGACTGGCAATCAGGTTTAACGTGAGTGGCCTAGTGTGCAGTCGGCTGCATTGTGAAGCGGCGTCCTCAGACTGCCCGCCTCTGAGCTGACACCCTGGCTCTGGCGCTGCTCCGAAGCCCTGGCCCTGGGAGTCTGAGTCACCACTGAGCTGATCTCAAGAGGCTCTCGTGGCCCCGAGGTGCGTGAGCTCTTCACAAGGGCAGAGTGAGCGAGACACGCAACGTGCAATGGGATGTGAAGATGGAGAAAGTGAGCCTCATTCATCCCGGAGATTCAGGGATGGTTCAACATACGTAAGTCAACAAATGTAATGCACTATATTAATAAAATCAAGGACAAAAACCACAGCCTTCCTGTACACAAATAACAAACATACCAAGAGAGATATTAGAGAAACAACTTTCACAACAGCATCTTCCAAAATTAAATTCTTAGGAATCAATCTAATGAAGGAAATAGAAGTTCTTTACATTGGAAACTACAGTATTCTAGAAAAGGAGATTGAATAGGATATCATAAAATGGAACAATATCCCTTGTTCTTGGGTAGGAAGAACCAATATAGTGAAAACGGCCACACTTCCACAACTGTTATATAGACTGAATGCAATCCTGATCAAAATACCAATAGCACACCTCACAGAATTAGAGAACACAATTGTAAAGATCATTTTGAACCAGAGGAGACCTAGAATAGCAAAAGTAATACTGGGCAACAAAGGCAAGGCAGGGGGCATCTCAATCCCTGATTTGAAATTATACTAAAAATACCATGATAAGAACAGCATGGTACTGGTAAAAAAACAGGCCAGGGGATCAGTGGAACGGATTAGAAAATGCAGAAACAGGGGCTGGGGATTTAGCTCAGTGGCAAAGTGTCTGCCTGGCAAGCGCAAGGTTGTGAGTTCGGTTCCCGGTACCAGAGAAAAACCAAAAAAAAAGAGAAAATGCAGAAACAATTCCAAACACATTCAACTAGCTTATCTTTGACAAAGGGGCAAAATTCCTTTACTGGAGGAAAGATAGCCTCTTCAATAAATGGTGCTGGAAAAACTGGCTCTGTACACGCCGAAGATTAAAACTTGACTCATATCTCTCACCATGCACTAAACTAAAATTGAAGTGGATCAGAGCCCTAAATATTAAAACAGAAACACTAAATCTGCTGAAGGCAGAATAGAGCTCTTTAACACATTGGTAGAGGCAAAGACTTTATGAACAAAACACTGACTGCATAGGAAATATTACAAAGAATCAATAACTGGGGTCTCATTTTCTTAAAAAGCTTTTGCACAGCAAGTGAAACCACCAACGAAGTGACAAACCACAGACAAACCACAGGGTGGAAAAAAATTTTGCCAGCTGTTCCTCAGACAAAGGACTAATATCTAGAATGTATAAAGAACTAAAAAAAAAACCACAACCAGATCTCCAAATTTAAAGACTCAATCCAAAATGGGATATTTAAATGAACTGATGCTTCTCAGATGAAGAAGTAAAAACAGCAAATAAATACATGAAAAAATGTTCAATATCACTGGTCATTCAAGAGACGCAAATTAAAACAACACTAAGATTCTATTTCACTCCAGAAAGAATGACTATTATTAAGAAATCATCCAAAAACAAATCCTTCCTCCAGCTATAGGAACCCTTCCCCACTGTTGGGAATGTAGACTGGTGCAACCACTGTGGAAATCAGTAAGGATATTCCTCAGAAAATTAATGACCCAGCTATTCCTCTTTTTGGTATCTTCCCAAGTGAATCAAAAACATTATACCACAGAGATATATGCACATCTGTGTTGATAGCAGCAGTTTGTAATAGCTAAATCTTGGATATGTAGGGGACAGTGTATCTCAGCATATTATTTTAGATAAAATCATTTTAGGGGCTGGGGATATAACTCAGCAGCACATGGCCTGCCTGGCAAGCACAAGATCATGAGTTCAATTCCCGGTACCAAAAAAAAAAGATAAAATAGTTTTAGTAAAGGCCTAAAATGTGTCTTGAGAATCCTCCCTGGACATTGGAAGAGCAAACTTGGCCCGGGAATGTCTCCCTGAGATAAGGAACACCCAGGCCTAGATAACCATCGGTGACCCTGCCTGGGTAGTTTCATCCCTTTCCCTGGCCCTAGGTAAACATAAAGGAATGTATAGGTTGTAAAAAGGGAAACAAACAGAACATAATGGGAGAAACATCTGTCATGGTTAGACAGGCGACGGCAAACTGACCTGGGATCCCACAGGATGAGAGAAAAACCGCATGGCCACCTGGGTCAGCACATGTAAAATCCCAATTTGTAACCATGGAAACCCAAAGCATATTTAAGATCTGAACCAAAACTAACAGGCGCCGACACCGCCCAACTTGCTAGTTGGGGACGCTCGGTGGCTAGCCTGAAATTCAGTAAACTCTGTTTGCCCTAAAATAGAGTCCTTCAGTCTCCTGTGGAATACAACCCGTTACAGAAACAGCCCGAATGCCCATCCATCAATGAATGGATAAAGAGGATGTGTTTTTTTAAATGTAATGAAGTACTACTCTGCCACAAAGGACAACCATGAGACATTTCAAGCTCAATGGACGGACCTTGAGACCATCCTCAAGTTAAGTAAATCAAACACACATGTGTAAATACTGTACTGTTTCTCTGGTGTGAGAACTAAAAAGGTAAATAAGGACCAATATGTATAACAGATACTGGGAAATAGGAAGAAACTGTTAAAATGGGAAGGGGAATGAGGGAGAAGGGAGGGGAAAGGAAGGAAAGGAAAAGAAAAAAATAGAAGGAAAAGATGGAAACAAAGCTTTTGTAAATCAGGAGGGAAGAGGGGTTAAAGGGAGGTGAGGGGACTGGAGAAAAAGAATCAAGATATATCATGTACAGGCACAAATTCCCTGTGATTAATGTGGCCATGCATAGCTAAAATAGACCAATAAAATTAATTTAAAAAGAAGGTACTAAGTGCAATGAACTATAAGACAAGATTTAACAAACGGAATTCTATAGCTCCAACCAAAAAACCTGCGCAATTCTTAGCAAGCTGCTCCCAAAACACGTTTGAGGCGTCCGAGAGCTGCCCCAGCCCCGCGTCCCTACGAAGGTCATTTCTGTACCTGGTGCAGTGCCACGCTGGAGGCGTGCAGGTCAATGGCAGCCAGAGACGGGATTCGAGATTCACAAAGAGTTTTGTTCTCTTTCTTTGTAGGTCTAGAATTTCGAGCTATATAAAGATAACCACAAACACAGCGAAAACATCAGACACTCTGCTAGTTTCTCAGACTGTCCGCGTGTCCCTCAGTGTGAATTTATGACACATATATTTACCTATTTAAATATGTAAAGTCACCATAAACTTTTATTGTTAATATTCTGCTAGTTAAATATAATTTTAAATACTGTAAATGCAAGGGCTGACAGAATCAGAGCGCCACGCACGTACCCAGGCCCTCCAAGGCCCTCAGTTCCGGGAGATGACTGTAGCTCAGCTCGGGCAATCGCACCTCCGTTCTGGAGTACTCCTTTCGCTTCTTACTTGCCTGCAGGAGGTTCTTTTCACTGGAGACCTGGCATTGTCAGAATGGCTGGCACAGATAAACTAGTTCAGGTGCACTGGAGATTCTTTATAACTACTACAAATGTACCCTAAAAGGTGTGGATTTGACGGGCTGGAGTAATTAAAAAACTGAAAGATCCTAACAACGTAAGAAGCAATTTCATACCTCGTCCTCACTAAATTCGCTGAACTCGACAGGGGCCTAAGCGAATCACTCCGTTTCTCCCCAGCCCCCTGCCAGTCACTAGCGTCCCAGGAACAGGGAACGGTGCCTCCTCGCACCTGCCTGTCACGGCCCAGATGTGAGCGGGTTCCCATGCATGGCCAGCACTTTCCTCCAGGCCTGTTTCCCACTCTTGCAGGAAGATGCTGTTGCTCCTTCGCTACGTCTGCCCTCGGAGTCAGCACGCGAGACCAGCTCCCCAAGATTATTATTAAGTAAAGCACAACTTGCGGTTATTTTCCTAATCTTCTTCTTATCACTTCATAGTTGGTAAAGTCAGAAAAAAATCATAAAGGGAGGAATAGTAGCACTTGAATTGTGTAACTTTATAAATTTGATACTTTTTTTCATTTAAGAACTGAAAAAAAAAAAACTGCAGAAACCCTATTTCTTTTCCACATTTTCCAAATAAGTGATACATAGATTATGTGATTTTCTAAAAAATAAACGTACAACGAACTCATATATATATGTATTTACATGCATATCTAAATAATGAAATGAACACACAGCAAGCACACATGCAGTGGTCATGCCAAGCCCCGGGGTCCTGTGAGTGTAACCAGTCTCACAGGCGCTGAGGAGTACGGCTCCCTTTCTCCTTTTGGAAGTTTCTGCTTATTCTTTTAACAGGACAACTGCTGAGGCTCAGAACTCAAACTAGCTATAAAGTAAGCTCATTCAAAAAACTACCGACACGTACAAGAAAGAAAAAGAAAAATGAGTTCCAACTACCAAACCATTTCAACACTGACAAATGAGACGCACCCTACGTTTCTAACTGTGCTTTAATTCACACTCGGGTAAGCGCGTTTGTCTCCAGCCCCCCCGTGAGGAAGGCCGAGGCTTAGCTCTGCCTGCACTGGGGCTTCGTTACAGAAAAACCAGGAGGCCTCCCCTCCACAGTCTCTAGTCCTGCCACCGAAGAATTAACACAACCGCAGACAAAATTATTCACCAGCACTGATTATGCCACGTCTAAACACAGGCTGACACCAATTCTGGTACAATGGCATTGAGCCAGCCACTCTGGAAAGCCTTGCTGGTCAAAATCACCTTCCAGGTAGACCAGGATTATCGAACACAAACACCCATGTGGCCATCAGGGTGTTACCAAAAAGGAAATTGCTAAGAGCACAGAAACTCCAAACAAAGAATAACTGGAAGAAAACCAAGCCGGGCGTGGTGGCGCATGCCTGTAATCCCAGCACTCAGCAGGCTGAGACAGGAGGATCGTTGCAAGTTCAAGATCAGCCTGGGCTACAGAATGAGCTCAGGGCCAGCCTGAACTGCATAGCAAGACGGTGTCTCAAAAAGACAAAAAAAAAAAAAAAGGAAAAAAGAAGAAAACCAAATGCAGTGTCTGAGTTATGAGAGACATAGAAGGGATTTTCAGCTCTGAAGATCGTGAGGGTAGAGGAGAGAAGCTCATTTTAAAAGGTATTCCCCTGGGAAGAGCCGCACTCCCCTTGCCTTGTGAACAGGTAGCCATTCCCACGTGTCTGTTTGGGGCCGGAGCTGAGTCCAGGCCTGGTGCGTGCCCAGCATGCGCTCTGCCCGACCTGCGCTCTGCCCGACCTGCGCTCGGCCCCTGAGCTCCGCTCGGCCCGCAGCTCCTGCAATGTGCCGAGCACTGCTGCACGCAACAGAGAAGCAGGCAGGAAAACAAAGACAGCGCCCGCCTCGGCCCCGGAAGCTCACGTTCCACCTCAGGGAAGCAGGCCGAGCAGAGCAACACGCACAGAGGACGCCACCCATGGGGGGTGGACAAGAATTAGCAGAGAGGGGCCACAGAGCAGCGGGAGACAAAACACTCACGAACTAAAGAAAATGGAGCGCACAACAGGATTGACGGGAGCCGAAGAGGACAGAAAGTGCCCCTGCGGGGTCACCGGGAAGAGCGCTCCCGAGCGCAGGAAAGGGACACACGGAAGCCCACAGGCGGGAGGCCGGCCACATCCCAAGAGTAAGGAGGACATGAGCGTGGATGGAACAGAATGACCAAGACAGAGAGTGGCGGAAGGGGGAGGAGGGACACCGCCCCACGCAGGGGGACAGCCAAAGGCAGGCACTGAGCAAGAGGACACGATGGCCTGAGGCCCCTTTAGAAAGCAGCCTTCCCGAGGCTGTGCCGGGCACCACGAGACTCCTTCTCCAGCCACCTCGAGGCCCGAACGTGCTGCCAGCACTGAAACCTGACAGGACATTTCTAACCGTGCATCTCTCACTAGACCACGAGCTCCAGGAAGCGACTGGCTTTGTTTAGTTTCAGCGTGTGATACACAATACGCAGACGATCAAGCTGTTAAGGCAGTTTATGTCCTCATTTTCTCTACACCGAGAACCAGTCAGCAACGTCAGGTTAAGAAGATTTGCTATGCTGCTGAATACAATGAAAGAGAGGGCACTGAAGCCAGGTGTAATGGTACATGTCTGTCATCTCTGCCCTCTGGGAGGCTGAGGCAGGATGACTGCAAGTTTGGGTCCAGCCTGGGCAACTCAGCAAGACCCTGTCTTAAAATAAAAAATTAAAAAAGACTGAGGATGTAGTGCAGTGCAAAGGTTCTGGGTTCGATCCTCCCCGTCCTCCCCCACCCCCCCTCACACACACACACACAACAGGTGGCACTGTAAGAGTATCTTTCAGACTTGTAAAACTTACTTAAACTTCCACAATTCCAGATCATGACTGTGACCGGCCGGGGTCATATATGCACAACTGTGTCTCATTCACGTGTCCAGATGGAGCGCAGCCCTTCCCCACCCGAGTCAATGTTCACACAGGTCCGGAGCGGACACAGGCTCACCGCTGCCACTGAGGACGCGTCACTTACCGGTGTGGGTACAGTGATATTATGAACTCCTGATGGAGACTGCTTACTTGGCTTAACAAATGGAATGCAATACTTCTTGGTTTTCTCATCCACTCTGCAACAAAAACGTGCTCAAGTGAGAAGCAGCAGTACTTATGTTCCCAAGTGCGAGCCCCGGTGACACACACCACCAAGCGGCAGGCGGCCCCATGAGGACCCAGCGCCCGTCCTCGGTGCACCGTCCTGCCGCGGGGGGCTCGGTCTTCCTTTCCCTCTGTGCTCACGCGGCCCACACGCGCCCCCTCCTCCAACCAGCCAGCCCCTTCCGCAAGTCCCCAAAGGGCGCCTCGGTGACTCAGGCTCACGCCAGGCAGCAGCGGAGTCCAGACCAGCTCTCCCTTCATCACGACGACCCCCTTGCAGTTACTGGCGTAACCGGCTTAAACAACGCAGCCCACATTCTTAGGACTCTCGGGACATTTTTTAAAAGATCAAATCCTAGTAATTTCCATCATGCAGGTGAAAAGGTTTTTGAAACCGCTACCTAACAAGCAAGCAGCGCTCAGAACAAAGCGCACAGCTGTGCTGCAGGCGAACGGGCAGACACGTGCAGTCTGCGAACACACCCTTCCACGCGTTGTCACTTCCAGACCCATACCTGTAACTCTGGGCTCCGGGGTTGCCGCCAGCAGCCGCTGCGGACGGAGTGTGCGCCAGCGGGGGGATGGCCACGCTGGGGACCCTGGTGGCCTGGCTGCCGCGGTCCCCAAGGCGGCCCGAGGGCGCTGCCTGCAGGTGGCCTGTCCCGCTGCTCCGGAGATGGCTGGCATTGGACGCTCTTGCGCCCTTTTCAGTCTTCTCTCCATCAGCTTTTGCCCCTTTTGTTTTAAATGCTTTGGAATCCTTAGTTTTGGTGTCAGTGTTGGTGTCCTGACCATTAATAAAAACGTTAAGAAGGTTAATGATCTAAAACAATGAGAAACGACCTCTTCCTATAAAGTCCTTTTACCTAGAGCAGAATTTGGCCATTTCCTTAGCATCTTTATTCTGTCTGTGGAATTAAATTAAATCTAGATTCTTTTTTGTTTTTTTTCTGGTACCGGGAATTGAATTCATGACCTCGCGCTTGCCAGGCAGGCACTGTGCCGCTGAGCTAAATCCCCAGCCCCAAAATCCACATTCTTATTCTGATAGTTACTGTGAAAATACAAAAAGAACAGGAACACAATTCACACTAACTCTGACTGATGTATTTGTGTGTGTGTGTGTGTGTGTGTGTGTGTGTGTGTGTGTGTAAAGTTCAAATGGGAAAAACCACAAAGGAGCAACTGGGAATGTCACTTTTTCCTCGCACACTCTCAATCAGGAATATGAACTTGAGAACACTGTCTTCTTCTGGCTCACTGCATAGCAGTGGGCTCCCTCATCAAGGTCAGATCTCAGGCATTCTTACATGCTTCACGCCATACAAAACCCTAACATCAGCTTTTCTCACACCACTGCAGGAAGAGAAGTGGGACCAGCATGCAGGTGTGTGTGCGTTGCCCTGCACGTACGCACATGTACATGTGTTCAGACTTTCTCCAGATGAGTGCGGAATGGAGGTTCTCCAAGGAAGCTGCATCTGTAACAGACCCTGCAGACCGCCTGACCCAGGCTGGCAGCACCAGCACGCACGCTGCAGGCTGAGAGCTGAATGTCTCCCGGGTCACTGCAGGCCCTGCGCCTCCACCCTGGGGCCTGACCTAACATCGCCATGACCACGAGGCAAGCTCAGGGTTGTATCGCTAGCTCAGGGGCCCTCGGCCTCTGCTTCCCTGACAGCTACAGAAGACATGCTGCTCCGCCGCAGCCTCGACCTGTGGGCCCCAGCAACTGAGTAATCACACTCTAGCCGTGAGCTTCTCTGACTACAGAAACTCTTTACAGCAGAGAATGTCACTGAGGGTAACCTGAACCTGTGCTCCCAGACCACAGCTACTCCTGCCGGCTTGGCATGAATATTTTCTAACTTCCTTTAAAGCAGAGTTGTTATCTTACACCAACAAGTTAAACAAGCACTACTGCACATCAGGTACAAGGTAGGCACTCCGAGCATAATACGGTTTTTAAACAGGTCGCCTCAACAGGGGAGACACACTTACAACAAGGCTAAAAGCGAACAGTTTGCCTAAAGATCTTTTTTTTTTTTTTTCAGTTTGCCTAAAGATCTTTTTTTTTTTTTAGTTTTTTTTGGGTTTTTTTTTCGGTACTTGGAATCGAACTCACAACCTTGTGCTTGCCAGGCAGGCGCTGTGCCGCTGGGCTAAATCCCCAGCCCCTGCCTAAAGATCTTTTTTAAAACCTCAACCCAGCCCAAATTTAAAATTTAAAACATTTACCTGTACCACAAGTGTTTTTCTTTCTTCACCTAAGGATTCATCTTTTTCCTTTTCCTTCTTTCTGTTTTGGGATTTTTTAGGCAAAGAAATATTCCTGGCATCTTTCTGTATTTTTAACTGTAGTTCTTGGGAGAACCTATATAAAAATAACCAATAAAATAAAATTGTAGGTGACAAATAAGTGTTTAAAAACCCTGACTTTCATGATAATTTTTAAAAATTCAGTGCCGAACCACACATGGTAATGCACACCTGTAATGCCAGGACACTCGAAGCTGAAGGAGGAGGATCACAGTGAGTATGAGGCAGCCGGGGCTACATACTGAGTTCAAGCACAGCCTGCGCTACATAGAGAGACCCTGCAGAAAGGAATGGATGCTCTGTAACCTTCGGGGACCCCTGCGGCCATTTCAGGAGGAGCACAAAGCCCACACTGGTCTCCCCTTAACGTGAGAATACTGTCCGTGTCACTCGTCAGGGTGGGCCCCAAAGATGGTGCAAAGACGAGGTGACAAAACCGAGGCTGCTGCACCGTCCCTGAGCCTGGCATCTCCCTCCTCATCCCAAGCTCACTGAGAAGAAACCGGCTGCACCCAAGACCGCCCTGGAGAGGAGGCGCAGTGTCACGTCATCGACCCCAGGTCCTGACACCCACTGCTCCTCAACACTCGGAAAAGACGGACGCGCTGAGCCCGGGGCCAGTGTTCCCGAGGGCAGCGGTTACCTCGGCAAGCACGGTCCGACTCAGACACAACCCAACTAGCCTTTCCTTTCATAGAACATTACTTTTACTGGCAAGGAAGACTGGCAGAGAACTCTGGTTATTCAGTCTTGATGGATGTGGCAGACAGTTTCCTTCAAGAAAGGAAAACTGAATTTGTCACTTCAAGAAACACAACTGATAAAGTTTGTCAATGATAAAATTCAACACTTTATGATAAAATTAGAATTCTGTGAAACCTGTGATCTTAGAAACTTCTCAATAGTTAAAAAGTCTTCTGATGAGATGGAATGTGAAACTTAAGTATTATATAATGAAATATACCAACATTTCTAACATCTGCACAGTTTAGCCACAGCAAAATTCTCCAAACGACTAAGCAGTGATGTTAATGAAGTCCATGTGAGTTCGAGAAGCCCTCGGAAAACAAGACAGAAATGCGTTTTCATGTAGTAGGTGAAGAGAAGTCCCCTATGCAGTTTTAGAGTGCAGGCTAACATTTACGGAGCAACCGGGCCAGGTTCTGACGTAGCATCAGAACTAGACAGAGCATGAAAGAATACACACATTACTTAAAAAGGCTATTAAAGTATTCTTCCTTTACCCTAAGTACATATTTGTGTGAGGCCAGAATTTCTTCACATAATTCAACCAAATCAACCTATCATAAGTAATGGAAAGTAAAAGCAAACATAATACACCAACTATCTACTCAGGAAGCTGAGGCAGGAGGATCACAGCAAATTCGTGCCAGCCTGGGCTACACAGTGAGTTCCACAGCAGCCTGAACAGCAAGACCCGGTGTCCAAAAAGAGAACCCACTACCTTAGTAAGCTACATGCTACTGAAATTGGTGACTGTAAAACAACATCACAGCTCCTGATCTCATTATTTTCTGTCTGTCAACCGCACTGAGGCAGCACCAGCACAGCACAGCAGCTCCAGCACCCAGGGCCTGGCCATCTGCGTGTCTCCAGCTCCTGAGCAATGGCGGCGGCAGCATGAGGCGTGTGCTTGTGCGTGTGCGTGTGCGTGTGTCTGGCACGAGAGGACATGAATCCTTTGCTGGTGCATAGCACCAAGGTGACAGCATCACACAGCAGGCAGCAGCCTAGGAATCAGGGACCTGAAGCGATGCCCCCAGGAGACAGGCTGAGCAAGCAGAAGAGACTGCTTCATACCACCAACATAGGAAACACCCCAAGCTCCGACTGCTGCTGAGGGGGGGGAGCACTGAGGAGGGGACAGCTTCCAGGCGAGGCAGTGACCATGCAGGACAAGCACTGTGGGGAGGGTTGCAGAAGCCACATCCCCCTCTGCCCCTCGGCCCCTGGCCTGGCAGGCACTGGCCCCTTACCTCTCAGCAAACCCATCCATCTGGAAGAAAGCGTGGTTAAGGAGTTCAGCACACAGCGGCCTTTTGTCGGGGTCAATGTGTAAGCATTTCTGAAAAAATAAAAAACACAATTCTTAGCCAAGAAAAACCCCCACTTTAGGTTCCTAGACACTGTATAGGAGAATCGAAAGCTCCCCATTACAGCCAGTGGATTTTAAACATCTATAATCAAGAATAAAGCACAACTCTAGAAAACGACTATTGGGGGTGCTAATATCACAGAAAGGAAAACCGCCGTCCCATGTCTCTAAGAGGGAACGAACAACCTCCCCGGAGGCAGTCCTGCTAAATCCAAGCCTGACTCTGACCGCACTCCAGGCTCCTGCGTCCGACTACATTACGGGGATGGGGTATGGGACACACCGCCTAGCCACTTCAATACTTCGCATGTTTTAAATAGAAAGAAAGATGAAAAGAAGCTTATGTTACAGCAGCATAGCTCATAGCAGCTAACCCTGGGAAGCAGCCTGTGTGTCCATAGCAGATGAACAGCATCTCGAGACCATAATGTGAGGTGAAATAAATCAAACACGGTTGAGTACCACGTAACTTCTCTTAAATGAGAAACCCAAACTATAAATAATTTTTAAAACAAAATAAAAAAGACCACAGGAAATAGGAAGATAGATCTTTGCAAATGAGGAAAGGGTCTGGAGACAGGAACTGGGAGGAGGGAGGGGGGTAATGAAACCATCTGTGTATGTTAAGTGCATGTGCCTACTCTCTAAAACGAATGCAAACGCTATACATGACAAACATGCACAAATAAATAATAATAATAATAATAACATAATACAGAAAACTGGACAGGCCAATTACCCCAAGCCAGGTCTTAAAACAAAAGCTCACAGTTAAGTCTCAAAAGCTAATCAACCACTTGCAATCTATATTTCAATCCTAATTCAAACTATAAGAAGAAATTATGTGAAAATCAATACTTTGGACAATATGATATGAAGAAATTACTGTGAATTTGTAACACTTAAAGCTGTTGTACAGTGAAGGGAAAAGGTCTCCTGTACACTCGCTACTGCACTTTATGGAAGGTCTTGATAGAAACCCTCAATACCTAGAAGGTATGGCTGTGTCTAGATGTTCCCAAAGCCTTCTGCAGTCATGGGTGGGCCTGTGCAGAGGTGCCTGGATCTAAGCGTGTAAAGCTGGGATCAAGGGTGTGTGAGCACTAAACTGTCCAAATACTGGTTTGCACAGTTCTGGGTATGGATAGTGGGAAGGCCCTCCCTGGGCGTGTGTGCTCCCCACCGTAAGGGTGCAGAGCCTGGATGGAACACAAAGCAAAGAAGGAGGGCTGCCACTGTCACTTGCTGCTTGCTGCCTTCTGCCTGCCCTGCTTTGCCATGGACTGTTTCTACTCTGTGATGTCATTCTGCCACGTCAATCTGCCTTTGGAGCCAGCCAACTACGAAATGAAACCTATACAAACTTGAGGCAAATAAACCTTTCCTCCTTTGTCTTTGGGTGTAGGTAGTCTATCTCAGCAATGAAAAGTAACCATAGCAAGAAAAGAAACTCAGCTGGCAGTTTTAAATGAGCAAGAAAAGATCCACAAATAATTATGAAGTAATATAATATCTGGGATTTGCCTCAAAATGTGCCAAAAAGCCAAGTGTGGTGGCACACACCTCTAATTCCAGCACTTGGTAGGCTGAGGCAGGATGTTAAGGTCAGTCTGAACCCTGTCTCAAAAAATTCAACCAACCAACCATGCAAACAAACAAAAGCACACCAAAAAAACAAACAAACAAACAAACAAACACTGAAGGAAGCTTGAGTAGACTGATAAAATGATCACAGGCTGGTGAGCATCGAAGCCAGATGACAAGGGCGGGAGAGTTTACTGCGCTTCTAATCTTTGTGTGCTCTTCTCTATGACTGAAACTCCATAGTAAAATGTTTAAAACATCATATGATTCTACATAAGGGACACAGATTAGATGAGAGTTTAACCTTTATTCCCTTTAAGTCTCTTTACAGACAGATCATAAATCTGATCCCAAAGAAAACTATTTCACCCCCCAGGAAGATATTCAGCAGTGGAATAGCTCAGTCGAAGGGGCCTCCAATCCCAGTTTTGTGAGGAATCTCCACACTGATTTCCACAGTGGCTGCCCCAGTCTGCACTCCCACCAACAGTGGAGAAGGGCTTCTTTTTCCACACAGCCCCGCTGGCATTTGTAATTGGCTGATTTCTTGATGACAGCCATCCTTCTTGGGGTGAGACGGAATCTCAGTGTTGTTTTCATTTGCATCTCTCAAATGACCAGTGATGTTGAACATTTTTTCATATATTTATTTGTTCGTATTTCATCTGAGAAGTGTGTATTCATCTCAGATGCCCATTTTTGGGTTGGTCTTTAAGTTTGGGAGGTCTGTGCTCCGAGTTCTTTATATGTTCTCGACAGTAATCCTTTGTCTGAGGAACAGCTGGCAGGTATTTTTTCCCACGCTGTGGGTTGTGCCTTCACTCTGTGGTGGTTTCTCTTGCTGTGCAAAAGCTTCTTAGTAAGATGAGATCCCACTTGTTGATTCTTTGTGATAGCTCCTGTGTGAGCAGGGTTTTATTCACAAAGTCTTTGCCTATACCAGTGTCTTCAAGGGTTTCACCTATTCTGTCTTCCAGAATATTTAATGTTTCTGTTTCAATATTTAGATCTCTGATCCACTTTGAATTTAGTTTAGTGCATGGTGAAAGGTATGGGTCCAATTTTAATCTTCAGCATGTGCAGAGCAAGTTTTTCCAGTACCATTTATTAAACTAAACAGGCTATCTTTCTTCAATGAATGTGTTTGGCACCTTTGTCAAAGATGAGGTGGCTGCAATTTATAATAGCTATATCTTGGAAACAACCCAAATGCCCATCAACTGAGGAACAGATTAAGGGATGTGATATTTCTATACAATGGACTATTACTCAGCTATAAAGAAAATTAAACTTGAAGCTTTTATGAGTAAATAGATGCAACTAGAGACCATACACATAAGTGAAATAAATCAGACTCACATGTGTAAACATCATTTTGTCTCCCTATCACGAGAAACTGAAAGAGTAAGTAAGATCCAAAAGGGACAACAGACACTGTGAAAGGGAAAGAAACTGCCCAAAAGGAGAGAACAGGGGTGGGGGAAAGCAGAAAACAAGCCAGATAGCTAAGATAATTGCACAACTAATTTCTATCAGTTTATTGAAAGGAGCAGTTAGTGTTTATATTGTTTGGTCAATTTTACATGTTTATATCTGGTAATCTGAGCAACTACTTTGAAGATAACAATATGCAATATAATTACCATTGTTAATTTCCTATCATCTTGTTTTGAAATTCTGTATAGTGTTTTTTTTAATCCCCTTAAAAAAAAAAAAAAAATTGTAACTTTTTGAAATAAACTGGCTGAGTATGTTTGGAGCTGTTTCTGCATCTTCTAATCTGTTCCGCTGATCTTCAGGTCTGTTTTTTTGCCAGTACCATGTTATTTTTATCACAGTAGCTCTATAGTACAATTTCACGTCAGGGACTGTGGTGGCCTGTGCCTTGCCTTTATTGCCCAGAATTGCTTTTGCTATTCTAGGTCTCTTCTGGTTCCACATGAACTTAAGGACTGTTTTCTTTAATTCTGTGAGACATGCTATTGGGATTTTAATTGGAACTGTATTAAATCTGTGTAACAGTTTTGGAAGTATACCTATTTTCACTATATTGGTTCTTCCTAACCAAGAGCAAGGGGTATCTTTTCATTTCTGATATCCTCTTCAATCTCCTTTTCCAGAGTACTGAAGTTTTCAATGTAGAAGTCTTTTACATCTTTCATTAGGTTGATTCTTAGGTATTTCATTTTCTTTGGATGCTATTGTGAAAGGTGTTGTTTCCCTAATTTCTCTCTCAGTGAGTTTATAATTCTGGTACAGGAAGGCTATTGATTTTCGAGTGCTGATTTTGTATCCAGCTACACTATTGAATTTGCTTATTAAATATAGAAGTTTTTTAGTGGCATTTTTGGGGTCTTCTATATAGAGTATCATGTCATCTGCAAATAATAGTAAATTAACTTCTTCCTTTCCTATCATTATTACTTTTATTTTTTTTTTCTCTTGTCCAACTGCTCTGGTTAAAGTTTCCAGGACTACGCTGAATAAAAGTGGTGATAGTGGACATCCTTATCTTGTTCCTGATTTTACAATGAAAGCTTTCAGTTTTTGTTCATTTAGTAAGATGTTGGCTGTTGGTTTGTCACAGATGGCTTCTATCAGATCAAGATAAAGATCATCTATTCCAATTTTCTGTAGGGTTTTTATCATGAATGGGTGCTGGACTTTGTCAAAAGCTTTTTCTGCATCTATTGAGATGATCATATGGTTTTTGTCCTTGGCTCTGTTTATATAGTGTATTATATTTATTGATTTGCATATGATGAACCAACCCTGCATTCCTGGGATGAATCCCACTTAAATGGTACATAATTTTCTTGATGACTTCCTGCATTCTGTTTGGCACTGTATTATTGAGGGTTTTGGCATTTATGTTCATTAGGGAGACTGACCTATAGTTCCCTTTCTTAATTAGGTCATTCTCCAGTTTTGGTATCAGGGTAATCCTAGCTTCCAGGAATGAATTTGGGAGTACTGCTTCCCTTTCAATTTCATTAAAGAGTTTAAGAAGAAATGGTGTTAGGTCTTCTCTAAATTTCTTGTAGAAGTCAGCAGTGAATTCATCAGGGCATGGGCTTTTCTTTGTTGGTAGGCTTTTAATTACATCTTCAATTTCATTGATTGATATTGGTCTATTTAGGATTTTTATATCTTCTTGATTCAGCTTTGGTAATTCATATGAATCTAAGAATCTGTCCATTTCTTCTGCATTTTCCATCTACTAGAATACAAGTTATCGGGGCTGGGGATTTAGCTCAGCGGCACAGCGCCTGCCTGGCAAGCGCGAGGTTGTGAGTTCAATTCCCAGTACCGGAAGAAAACTTAAAAAAAAAAAAAAAAAAAAAGAATACAAGTTTTCAAAGAAGGTGTAGATGATCTGGATTTCTTCAGGGTCCATTGTAATTTCACGCTTTTCATTCTTAATTGCATGGATGAGTCTTATCTTTCCTCTTTTGATAAGGTTGGATAAGGGTTTGTCAATTTTATTTAATCTTTTAAAGAACCAACTCATCTCATTAATCCTTTGTATTGTTTTCTTAGTCTCCAATGTGTTAATTAACGCTCTGATTGTTATCATTTCTGCTTTTGGCTTAGTCTGCTCTTCTTTTTCTAGAAGTTTGAGGTTTACAATTAAAGTGTTTATTTGCACTTGCTCTGTTTTCCTGATATGGGTATTCACTGCTGTAATTTTCCTTTCTTAGGACTGTGTCCTGTAAGTTCCAGTATGTTGTACTGTCATTATCATTTAATTGCACAAACTGTCTAATTTCTTCTTTAATTTAATCTGTGATCCTTTGGTTGTCCAGGAGGGTGCTATTTAATTTCCATGTGTTTACCAAGTTCTTGTGGTTTCTTTTGTAATTGATTTCTAATTTCATTGCACTATGGTCACCAATAAGCATGGGATAATTTCAATTCCTCTGCATGTACTTAAGCATGTTCTATAAGCTAGTATGTGGTCTATTTTGGAGAATGGCCTATGTGCAGCTGAGAAGAACATGTATTCTGATGTTGTGGGGCAGAACACTCTGTAGACATCTACTGAGTCCATTTATTCAAAAGTTTGGCTCAATTCTAGTATTTCATTGTTGACTTTTTGTCTAGTTAATCTGTCTTTTTGTAACAGTGAGGTATTGAGTTCTCCCAACTGTATTAGTGTTTATTTGATTTTTCATGTCCATTAATATTTGTTTCATATAGTTGAGTGCACTGGTGTTTGTTGCATATATATTTATGATTGTTATCTCTTTCTCTTAGATTGTTCCCTTTAAAAGGATGCAATGACTTTCTTTATCTTTCTTAGTTAGTCTTGGCTTGAAATTCACTTAGCAAATAAAATAGCTACTCCTGCTTTTTTCTGGGTTCCAGTCACATGAAGTACTGTTTTCTATCCTTTGACTTTCAGTCTATGAATTTCTTTTTGAATTATATGTGTTTCTTATATGCAGCATATTGCGGGATATTGCTTCATGATCCATTCTGCCAGTCTGCTTCCTTTGATTGGTGAATTGAGACCATTAACACTGATGGTTGTAACTGGTAATTTTTTTTTTTTTTTTTTTTTTTTTTGTTTTTTTTTGGTTTTTCTCCGGTACCGGGAACTAAACTCACGACCTTGCGCTTGCCAGGCAGGCGCTTTTGCCACTGAGCTAAATCCCCAGCCCCTGTAACTGGTAATTGCTGACTTATCCTTGTCGTGTTATTTTCCTATTGTTGGCTCCCCCCACCCCACAAACTTTTCTCCCCATCTGTTTAACTGTTTGCCTGGCAGATTTCTTCTGCTGGGGTTCACGGAGTTGTACTCCTTGTTATCTCTTTCTAGAATGTCCTTCAAAACATTTTGGAGTGCTGGTTTCATGGTCATAAATTTCCTCAGATGTTCTTTGTCATGGAAGTATTTTATTTCTCTATCAGTTTTGAAAGATAATTTTGCAGGGTACATCCATCTGGGTTGAAAGGTTACTTTCCATTAGAACTTGAAATACTTCACTATAATCGAGCTGGGAATCTTAAAGGGCCAACTTCAGAGACAACTTGAGACAGTGAAAATTTCCCCCACCATCTTCCTCAAACACAGATTAAAGTAATGGTCATTTGGAAACAAGTTTCAGCTAGCCCAGTGTCTTGGTTAATTTTCTCTCCTTGCTGAGACAAAATACCCAACACCCAAAATAAAGGACGGAAAGGTTTATCTAGCTTACAGTTTGTGGAGGTTTCCAGTCCATACTTGGCTGGCTCCCAGGCAGAAGGTAGCAAAGCAACAAGAGCAAAGGGGGGAATGGCAGCCGAACAGCAATGCAGCCAGAGCAAAAGGGAGGAATGGCAGCAAGCAGCCTCTTTCCCTGCCTTACTTTGTAAACAGGCTACCCCCACCTAAGGGGCGTATAGCTCTCACATAATCTCCATGCCCTCCTCTTCCACAGGCTCAGGATGTATACAAAGTAAGCACCCTGGCTTCCTGCTGAGCCACTTAGCCAAACCTCTGAACTCCCCAAGTTGACACAATGTATCAACTCTAACACCCAGTGTCTACAAAGAGTCTCCTTGATATTGCAATATGGATCATGACCCTATGTCCTACATTTTACTACTTTTGTAATTCTCTAACTTTTTTTCTCCTTTTCACATAAACATTTGGTTTTGCATTTTTAGATTTTTTTTAGATGAGACTTCACACTTAAAATATGCTTGATAAGGGGCTGGGGATTTAGCTCAGTGGCAAAGCGCCTGCCTGGCAAGCGCAAGGTCGTGAGTTTGGTCCCCGGTACCGGAGAAAAAAAAACCAAAAAAAAAAAAAATATGCTTGATAATTGTAAATGTTTTCCTAATAAGTTTTAAAACAGATACAATATTTACAGCTTTCTCTCTGAAGTTCCCACACATGCCAAATTATTTAAACTCTTCCTTACCATATGAGAATTACGGTGATCAGAGGAAACTCCTGACTAAAAGATCCACTAGAACTACAGAGAGAGAACCAAGTCTCTATGATCCATACATTCCCCACCAGAAAGTGAAAAGAAAAAGGATGATTACCTTTGCTAAATCTGTCACAACTTCAGAGAGCTTAGGGTAGCGTCTTTCAAGAGGTTCTGTTTCTTGGATTTCAGGCAATCGTACTCCAGCAAATGCAGGATTTTTATAAAACAGCTCTTGATGTCTTGGTATTAAATTACCTAGAAATGAAAGCAGCACACATCTCCATGCCCATGACAAGAGCCAGGTGGTGGAGACCAAGCAGACGCAGGGAATGGAGTTTGGGACCTGTGCCAATTCCCTGCAAGGCAACGTGGCAGCGTGTACGGTGGTTTTACCGTAAGTCGACTCAAGAACTGAACACTGCTATCTCACTTAGAAAAGTAGAATTTGTAGGGAACACAGGAGAAGGACAAGCGAAGAACATCCTTACAGCTCTAAGCACCCGCACTTCATTTCTGGTGATAAACTACGATGAGCTGACTAAAATGAGGACAATACAGCCTCACCGAAGCCCTCAGCTCCTCTAAGAACTTAATTTTTGGTCAGCTGACTTTGTGCCTTTGTCTAAGGTCAGATTTGCGTACTAGATTTTTTTCTCAACTTGAATACGTAATGTGTTATGAAATATACATGAAAATACACACATGTAAGAAATCACTTATACTTACTGAATTTCTAGCCTGGAAACTCAAAAATCAAACAGTGAAATTACCCCAGTGTTCTCCTTATTTCCACCTTCCAAGCTCTGCCTCTGAACGTGAAGTTGGTGCTTCTAAATATGTGAGAGTGTGTTCTCGCTGTGAACTTCTGCCCAACGCACTCGCAAGCCAGGTCTCCCCATCTCTCACCCTGACAGTGGAGGGTAACAGCTGTACTTCACCAACTGCTTTACGTGTGTGGTTTTTAAATTGCTCCCTATCTACTTAAAATGTGTGTCACATTTAATGTACCGTACCAATGACTTTAAAAGAATCATCATAAAAGAAAGAAACCCTGAACAACTTAAGACGCAGATTATCTCCTCACCTAAACATGTCATAATGTGGTAGAGCTGGTCAATGTCGGAGTCTCCCGGAAACAGGGGCTCCCCGGTGAGCATCTCTGTTACCAGACAACCAATGGCCCAGACATCAACGGCCCTGGAGAAAAGCAATGTGGTTAGACCCCCGCATGCAGGCGTGACTGGACAAGCTACACAGGCTCTGTCCCCACACACCTCTGCTTGATGTTCTTGCTACTGGGAAGAGCCGTGCGTCCATTACCCCAAGGACCCTGTTCTCTAAGAGTTCTAACTCTCCATCTTAACAAGCAGGAATTCCAGAAACTACAACCGTTGTGACGTAAGAGGCAAAGGCTCCTGAAAAGACTAAGCTGTCTCTATGCGTACTTCATCCTGGCAGTCAGATTCGAGCTTCCATTCAGAGCCTAGACTCTGTACACACAGGCTTCTGCCAAGGTGGACAGACCACTCTAGGTACACTGGAAAAGCACACCTGAGGGCAGGAGGCGGCTGCTGACACAAAGACAGCAACAGGAGCAGAAAGCTAACAGGGAGAACGTTCTTTTAAACCGTATTAAAAATCAGTCACAAGGACGAGGGACATTGCTCAGTCGTGCTTGTCTAGCACACGCAATGTCCTAGATGCAATCCCAGCACTGCAAAAAAAAAAAAAAAAATCACTCCCAAGAACCAAAGAGTACAGTAGCATCATTTAGCACAGGAATAGCAGCCCTGCAGTAGCCTGCGTTCATCGCTGAATTGTAAAATGGCACAAAAATGACAGAAAGGCAGTAAAATGAGACTTCAGAGTATTTAGGAAAACATTAAAGGACGTTTCGTGTACTCTAAAAATGTAAGATGTGGAAAATATTTTAGGAAGATTTCTAACAAAAGCAACAATGGCTGAGGCAAGAGGATCACTGCAAGTTTAAGGTCAGCCTACACAGTGAGAACCTGTCTCCAAAAAAAAAAAAAAAAAACAAACCCAGGTATAGTGGTGCATGCCTGTGATCACAGCACTGTGGAGGCTGAGGCAGGAGGATCGAAGTGAGTTTGACACCAGCCCGGGCTACACAGTGAGACCCTGTCTCAAAAAGCCAAAAACAAACAAACAAACTAAACAACCCCACATAAAATGAAGCCATAAAGGTTAGTCTTCTCATCTGTGAAGAATTGGTGGGGCTTAGCAACAGCATGGCCCAGCCTGTGCTGGGGCCTTAGGTACCATCCTCACAACCACACGAGGGGTGTGTGTGTGTGTGTATGTGTGTGTGGGTGTGTGTGTGTAAAAGAGAATTCACTCATGAAGGCTTCTTTTTTGAGACAAGGTCTTGCTATGGAGCCTAGACTGGCCTCACGCTCACGATCCTCCTGCCTCAGCCTCTCAACTGCTGGGATTACAAGTGTACGCCACTAAGCCTGGCTTGACAACTTAGGTTTACAAAATATTTCCTTCAATTCCGCCACCCCTTTCCCTTACACACGCCAGACCAGTGCTCTACACAGAGGGACACAAGTGGCAGCCCTCTTCTGCCTTTACAATCCCCCCCACACACATACTCCAGCCTTCCTCTGAGCAGATCACCACTTCCTACGCTGGCGCCTTACTTGCCGTACTTGACATCACCGACCAGCAGCTCCGGCGCCCTGTACCAGCGGGTGGCCACGTAGTCCGTGTACGCCTCCCCGGGAGCCGCCAGCGTGCGTGCAAACCCGAAGTCACACAGCTTCACCACGCCAGCCTGGGACACCAAAATGTTCTCTGGCTTCACGTCCCTGTGTATGATCTAAGACAAAAAAGCACAGCAAGGTTAGACAGAAAGGATCTGAGGCACTGAAATGAAGAAACACATAATGGTCCTGGCTTTAAAGAACCTGGGACCCAGTGATTTTACTAATTCAAATTCTAGTCTATACACATGTCTATGCAAAGGCCTGGTGCCTGGATAGTCAAGTATTAGCAAGATAATCACTTAAACCTAATACTTACATTGTGACTGTGGCAAAAGCCAATTCCATTAATAATCTGAAATAAATACTTCTGCACCACTTGGTAGTCCAGTCCATTTGGAAAGAGTTCCAAGTCATCAAGAATTGTGTGGTCAACAAACTCAAAGACCAGGTACCATCTTTTTTTCTTCTTACACACTTCCAATAGGTTTACCAAATTCTCATGCCTCAGTTGCTGTTATAAAAAATGCAAAACAGTTTTTATAAAAACAAACTATTAGCAGTTAGTCCCAATCTAAAATAGATCTTAGCATAAGGCAAATATATAAATAAAATGCAAAAACCGTGTATTTTAGAAGTACATTCTAGTTTTTAAATACAGTCAACCAAACTCCTCCTTTGCAATCTCAGAGAATGTAGCAAAGCCAAGGAGGAGGAGCAGCCCAACTCCATGTTTGATGAGACCGCAGGGACCTGAGCCCCCTACAGTGGGGGGAGCCCACGCAGCCGGCGGCACGGGCTTCCGGGGTGTGGATGACGCCCAGGCAAGGGTCCTTGGGGCAGGGCACTGCCTGGAAGGCACAGTGCTCACAGGCACCAGGTGGAAAGACCCCTACAGCTGAGGGCACTGAGGAACAGTGGGGAGGGGGCTGAACAAGCAGCCACACAGAGACCCTGGCCAGAGTCACCATCGGAGCAACCGCAACATGCCGTCAGGAACAAACCTACAGCCACATGTCTCAGAGAACTCAATCCTACCGGCCAGCGTCACAGAGGCAGCACTGTGAGCCGTCGTGGGTCGTGCTAGCTTGGGACAAGATCCAGGCCTCTGCCCAGGTGACCTCCCCACATCATCTGGTCCCTGAAGAACCACTGGAGTAAAAGCAGCCACAGAGGAAGAAGAGCCAGTTCAGAGCCACTCAGAGGTACGATAAGAAACAAGAAGGAACACAGATGGAGATTAACATTCACCAAGAAGGAAAGGAAGAAAACATGTGGCCACTTTTGAAAGGATATAATCTCAAAATCCTGAGGGGAAGACCACACGATCCACAGACAAGAGACCCAACTGTAATGGTTTGTGGGATATTTTGCAAGGTGAAACAACAGAATACAGGACACACAGTTTGTAAGATTATTTATAACAGTCACCCAAAGGATGATACACAAAAGAGTGCAGGAAATATGTCCACACACTAAGACCAAGGAAACTAGCCA